GATGGGGTGGCCTTCTCCATGAACTGCTAGACTGTATACACCAGTGAAGGGAGGGAGCCAGTGATCCCCAAGGAAGCATTGTACATTGATGGGTAGGGAAAGGGAAACCCCTTGCAGTGGAGGGCAGTAATCTACTTCCAAAGGCAGAGAATGTCTGCAATGATCAAAGTGAAGGTTCCAGCAGACAGTGGGCCAAATTCCAATCAGTATGGATCCTAATAACAAGGGAAGAAGACCCCAATTCAATGCACCGACAGCTGGGTCATTTACAACAGCCCTATTCTGTAGCTTCCTCAGTGGCCGACTCAACAGTGGATCCCTTAATAGGTACAGTCTGTGGGGGCAAGATTTGTGGAAACATCATGAGATAATACAAACACTTGGTGTCATATTATGTGGCTTACTAATCCTTAGTCACCTAAAAGCGATGAAGCTGATTAAATGGCTTGAAGAAGCCCAGCTGAAGACGTCGCCTCCTGGCTGCAAAGCTAAATGTAACCGAAGCTAGAAAACCACAAAGTTGTTCTGCAACAGTGGTTCATGTCAATGTGATAGACATCATGTGCTCTTGCCAGCCATGTGTGCTCAGTGATACCCAAAGTGCCTGGCAGTTGCAGAGAATGACATTAAGAGAGGAAATACAGCCAGCCTGGGCTACAAAGTGAGTTCCAGGAAAGGCGCAAAGCTACACAGAGAAACCCTGTCTTGAAAAAACCAAGAGAGAGAGAGAGAGAGAGAGAGAGAGAGAGAGAGAGAGAGAGAGAGAGAGAGAGAGAGAGAAAGGAAATATATCCTTTCAGTGGCGGCAGGGAGACCACACCAGTCCTCTACCACATTCAGGGAAAGCCTGGCATACTTTGGCAGGTGCTGACACTGTTACCAGATGCCAGATGTTTTTCATGATTTTCCCAGTAAAAGAGCCACCTAAAAGATGACAAAACTGGGACTTACTAGGTTGAACTTGAGGTATAATACACCCCAAATAATAGAAAGTGACCAAAGTACCTACTTCACAAGTCATGAAGAATAACAATGAGCTAATGACCTGAGACATACTATGGACCTTCTACCTGCTGTATAGTCACACAGGAGCAGGGCTCCTCCGGCACAGAACTACTGAGGCAGGCTTTCCAGACCTGCTCCTATTCTCTATAAGGTGGACTACGCCTTGAGAAGTCTCAGTGAAAGGCTTCAAAAAGACAAGCTCGTAGCAATGCCACAATCACTCAACTGCAGTTCTCATCCCGAAAACTACAAATTAAAATGGAAAGATCCCTCAAGCCAGAGCAGGGACATGACAGCAATTCATCACGTATGGATACAACCAATAGAACAGTAGACACAGAATGCCTGGTGTGGCCCTGGGGAAGTCTGAACCAGCCCTGGATAGTTCACAATATCAGCTCCCTGAGAGGAGGGCCAGGTTAGACATTAAATTGAACTGTCCTCTACCATGTTGTGAAAATGGTCTATCATGATTTAGGCAAAGATATATATATATATATATATATATATATATATATATATATATATATATATATATATATAAAATGTGACAGTCACACCTCCCTATGGTCTCCTTTCTCTTTCTGTCCCCTGATAGATTTAACCCTGCTTTTCTTGTGATGAATTATATATACCAGATACAACCAGATACAGTGCCTGGTGCCTTGTCTCAGAGACACATGGAAGATGCAGAGTAGAGTGAGACTAGAAGGCACAAGAAAGGCATCAGCCTTTGAAGGGGAACATGGGAAATATGTCAGTGTCTGAAGTCACAGTGAACTTGTCCTTGCAAAGGTCTCCAACTGGAAGAGTAGATGCTAGTGTGGGAGGTACATTCCCAGCCACTTCCTTTCTTTGAAGATGGTGAAACCTAGGAGGATGATAATGTCTAACAGACACACAGAGAATGCCCATTTGAAACTAGTTAATATGGCTTTGAGTGCATGGACTCCACTTCTCTTCATTCTCTTCAAGTGTGAGTGTCACACATGGTGGGCGTTGTGTGGAGCCTTGTCTTTCCGGCATCCCCAGCCAAGAACTAAGGAAAATGTCCAAACACCCATAGAAACTTCCTAGTTCTTTCTTTGGTATCTTGAAACAGTCCCATGAGGTTTCTGAAGCCCTTGAATATTTAAACAATAGACAGCCTGGCAAATGGAAGACAATTAGAAATAATAGCAGATGGTACCGGGATAGATTTTTTTTGTGATATGAATGCAAGTTAGGTTGGAAACCTTAGAGTCACCTGACTGAACTTATCCTCCGGACTCAACTCTTTCCTGTGACAAAGGGGCCCATGGATTCCCAGCATCTTCTGGGGGAGGCACCAATATATTGTGACATACTTCAAGGAGTAGGTGGAGGGCTCTGACAAGCACTCTTGCTGAGAGCACTTTTGGACACTGGGTCACAATGAAGTGTGGTCCCTTTTGCCATGGAGCCAAGCACTCCACCTCAAGCTGATTGGGATGGTCATAATGTCAGAAACAGAACTGTGTAGCATGGAGCAAAAAAGCACCCCCTAGTGGAACAAGCAGTGGGGTCATTAACTATTAGAGCCATCATGCAAGAAACATGAAAAGCAAAGCCCCAGCTTGCAAGAAACATGAAAAACAAAGGCCCAGTTTCCTAGAATTGACTACCAGTGTGTTAAAACCAAACAGCAGACTAGAAAGATATATGAGAGGAGAGAGAGAGAGAGAGAGAGAGAGAGAGAGAGAGAGAGAGAGAGAGAGAGAGAGAAATTAGTGTTTTAGTGGATTCAGCTTAGGCCTCTAGAAAGCTGACATGTAAACAGAGTGAGGAGATAGCTGTCTGGAAATAAAGTTAAATAATTCTTGTTAGAGGCTGCCTGAGTGTTTTGAACGTTGGGTCAGGAGTTGAATCCATGCACTAATGGGTGATGGTGTGTATTAGCTACTTTTCCATTGCTGCGGTAAAATATCATAACCCAAAGGAACTTACAGAAGAGCCTATTTTGGCTTACAGTTCAGAGTGGGGAGTGTGGTGGGGTGGGGGTGTGGGGGTGTTCATAATGATGGGGAAGGCTTGGCAACAGGAGACCAGAGCAGGAAGCCAAGAGATCACATCTTCAGAAATAAACACAAAGCAGAGGGAAAGCAAACCGGAAGCGGCTCAAGGCTCTAAGCTTGAAAAGCCTGGCTCAGTGATGGGATTCCTCCAGCAAGGCTTCACTGCCTAAAGAAAGGCTTTCTAATCTCCCCAAACTGTACCAACTGAGGACTGGGTATTCAAATACCTGGGCCTACAGGGGACAATTCTCACTCACCATAAGGTCCACATCATTAAGTGACATGCAAAAGCAACTTGCAACCACTGGGTAAGAGACGTTTCATCATTCCTACTGATGGGTGAGATGTGGGGACAAACCATTGTCCCACATTCACTGGCATCGCTATGTACACATTACAGCTGGAATGTGAAATGCCTCTCACAGATCCATATGCAAGGGGTTTGGTTGTCTGTTGGTGGACTTCCAGAAAGTAACTGGATCCTGAAGGTTCTGTCCTAATCAATGGATTAACCCCATGATGGATTCGTATATACGATGGCATTATGGGGAGGTGATTAGAAAGTGGGGGCGGGTGGAGACTTGTTGGAGGAAGTCTGCTCTTGAAGGAGCTATCTTGTCCTTGGCTCCTCTCTGCTTCCTGGCTGTCAGGAGGTGAGCTGTATTGTTCCATCATGCAATTCCTGTCATGATGTTCATGCCCAGGAGCAAGGAAGCCATTTAACCTCAACCTAAAATCTTGGATGATGTGGTTGATGTGTTAATTTTCCAGGGTCACTGTGACAAAGTACCACAAACCAAGCAGCTTGAGCAACAGGAAACATTGTCCTCTTAGCTCTGAAGGCAAGTTTTCCAAAGTCAAGGTACCTGTAGAGCCAAGTTCACTCTGAATGCTTTAATAATAATTTCTGCTTCCTCCTTGTCATTTCTGGTTGTTGGCAATGTATGATGTAACTTCACCCAAAATTTCATCACTCTGATTTGGATCTCCATAGTTTCAGTGACCCCCTTCCCTAGATTGGTGTGTCTTCAGATCTTAATGATACCAGTCACAAGATTAGGGATGTTTTAACTCGATTTCTCCTCTAAAGATCTTATTCCAATTTCCATCACATTCAAAGGTACTGGGGAGGTAGGGTTTAGATGTTTTTGGAGAAAGGACATAATTCAGGCCCAAACAGGTTACAGCGAGGTGTCCATTGGGTGCCATCAGCACAAACTTCAAGACCCAATTGCTTTCTGAGAGTCTAATGGGTTAGAAATGGTGTTATTTCAGCACTTGGGGAGGAGTGTTGAAGAGGGTCATGAGTTCAAAGACAGCTTGGATAGACAGCAAGACCCTGTTTCACAGTTAACTAGCTGACTAAATAAGCCAGGGCTGGAAATATAACTTAATAGTATAATGATTGGTCTTTGTGAGGTCTTGTGTTTTGTCCCCAGCACTGGTAGCTAAATTATTAAATGTTAACTTAAAAATGTAAATACTTGTGTTTATATAGTAATGAAATATAGTTTACTCTCTCTGGATCTTTGGTTTCATTTTCTCTCTCTGTGTGTGTATGTGTTCTCTCTCTTCTTGTGGTGCTGGGGACTAATCCTACATACAGCTTCATGCACATTAAATACTCCTTTTCTACATTGTGGAGGGCTCCTCCAGAGTGGGTATCATTCTTTGTATTTATGTCCAGCAAGAGGCAAAAGACCCAAGAAGCAAAAACAAAACCCCAGGCCAGAAAATGCAAGTACTATTGTAGGCAGAGAAAGGCTGGGAGGGGGCTCTCAGTGGAGTACTGATCTGCTGTAAGGAAATACATCGTCTAACCCCTGGAGTGGCTTTCAAAGGGTTGGTTTCCCAGGAGAGCCACTAGAGTGCTCAGGAGGAGGTAGAGGGGCGGTGCCCAATTCTAAGGTTCTCTGCAGCTGCAGAAGTGTGTTCAGAACTGGACAGGATGACTAGCCAATACCAGCTTCCATGGTGTTTATGTTGTAAGACCTTGAATTAAAGACAGCATCTTGAATTATTTTGTAAAATGGCATTTACATGATGGAAAGTGTAAACAATGAATTCTTAAAATAGGATTGCCAAGCCAAAGTAATGAAAAGGTCAGTATGCATAAATTTTCACTTTGTGGACTTCCTTGTCCTCGCATTCCCTCTGTTTGTTGTAGTAATAGAAAGTATTGTCCCTCCGCTGAAGTTTCTTCACGTATCCTGTCTCTGGCCAACGGTCTACCTGCATGGGAAGGATGAGAATGCTGTAATGCCAGTTTTATTTTATATCATATTTCACCATCAAACAACTGCACCAAAAATTAAAGTCTGAGGGCTGGAGAGATGGCTGAGGTTAAGAGCACCGGCTGCTCTTATAGCAGTCTTGAGTTCAATTTCCACCAACCACAAGGTGGCTCACAATCACCTATAATGAGAATTGGTGCCCTCTTCTGGCCTGCAGGTATACATGCAGGCAGAACAGTATACATAATGAAGTCTGAGATAAACTTAAAATCTGTGTGCTCTTAGGGAGAGCATTGTGTGCACACACATAAAGCAAATATTAGTTCCAACCTTAATCTGGAAAACACGTACTGAATTGAGTACTTCTCTTCACAGTCAAGTCTCCAGGTTTTAGTGTCTACATTATGGCTAAGATTGAAGATATGTGCCAAATAATTTAAAATGCATTGTTTTTATATTTCTAAGTGACTCAAAACGTTGTAACTTCAAAAACAAATGCTGCAGGAGTAAGCTGGGAGAGAGCCCAGGGCCCCTGCTGAAGCACTATGTTGATCATGGGCTTTCCGCAAGGACTTAAGCGGTGGTTTTCAACCTGTGGGTCTCGACCCTCTGGAGTCCAAGGACCCTTTTACAGGGTCACATACGGGATATCCTGCATATCTCATATTTGCATTACAATTCATAACAGTAGCAAAATTACAGTTATGAAGTAACAACGAAAGTAATTTTATGGTTGGGGGTCACCGCAACATGAGGAACTGTATGAAATTGTCTCAGCATTAGGAAGATTGAGAACCACTGCACTAAAGGAAGGCACTGGACTTGAAGAAGTACCTATGCACTTCTACCCAAGCTTCAAGTTCACCATCAAGTCCAATTTTTGTATCCTGCCACTTTACTGAAGGAGTTTATCAGCTGTAGGAGTTCCCTGGTAGAATTTTTGGGGTCACTTATGTATACTATCATATAATCTACAAATAGTGAAAGTTTGACTTCTTCCTTTCCAATTTGTATCCCTTTGATCTCCTTTTGTTGTCTTATTGCTCTAACTAGAACTTCTAGTACTAGATGGAATAAATATGGGGAGAGTGGACAGCCTTGTCTTGTTCCTGATTTTGTGGTATCGTTTTGAGTTTCTCTCCATTTAATTTGATGTTTCAAGTCCAATTTTTAATAGAAACTTGAACTCACACAGTCCTCAGAAATCCTTCCCTTCTCCCCACTGTTCCTTGTTCTTACTCTGGTTTGTCTATCCTTTGTCTTGCTCTAACTTGTATGTACTTTCTTCTTTCTATCCAACTTCAGTGTTGCGCTCTCTTGGCCAGGTTAATGCGTGGTGGCTGTTGGTTTCAGACAGTGTTTCATGTATTTGCTGTCTGTGCTACATAGCCCAAGGATGACCCTGAACTTCTGACCATCTGGCCTCCACCTGGGGATTACAGGCATGCAATTACCACCATGCTCAGTTTATGTGGTGCTGGGAATGGAGCCCAGGGTGGCTTCCTGCAAGCCAGGCAAGCATTCTACTAACAAAGCCACATCCCCAGCTGTTCTGTGTGTGTGTGTGTGTGTGTGTGTGTGTGTGTGTGTGTGTGTGTGTGTGTGTGTGTTCTTTTAGGAACTTAAGTCAAAACTAATAACTTCTTTGGTTCATAACTCATCACAGTGCATTCTGGAACCCAATGTGTTCTTTTTATTGATAAAAATGTTCCTTCTGAATTTGTGAGATGCACTTTATCATTGTCAAAAGTCCAAATCCAGTTCTGGAAAATCAAACCCTTTTCTTTAACATGACCAATATGGGCCACCCTTCCCTTTCACGGTTTTCCTATAACTCACAGTCTGTAACTGGAAGAAAAGAGTACACGACTTGGGGAACTGTGTCTATTATTTTCTAGTAACTTGCCCCTTTTCCTTTTCCATTTCTTTCACCTGCTTTTGTTTGAGACAAAGCCTCCTGACATAGCCCAAGCCTAAGTGCTTCAACCTAAGCTCCTCCCTCAGTCTTGAGAGCGCTGGGATTTCAGGCATGTGCCACAATGCATGGATCTTGCATTTTCTCTCGTCTGCTTTAATTATGTATCAGTAGAAACAGACCCCAGCACATCCAATCTGCACGGCAGGTCCAGCTGCATTTACTTTGTAGGAAAGCAGCTAATGTTTCTAATACTTAAGTCAAAGCTGCTACCAGCAGGGAAAAGGAGTGTCCTCAAGATGCCGGGACAGGTTCTTATCCCTTCTCCAGATTCCAAAGACAACCCTGTTAGTGTATAAACAGTGCACTCACTAGATCTTCAGCACATTCAAGGTTTATGCAGGAGGGAAAAATCCATGGTAGAAGGTCAGGTAGAAGGTCAAATAGAGAGGCACCCAATGGTGTGAGCTATCTAGCTTGATATCTCCTAATGTAAAATTAGTTAATTGTAGAGTGTAGCTACAATGGATATGGTGTTTTCATCTGTAATCTGCCTGGGAAGTGGATGTAGGAGGATGTAGCAATTTGAGGCTTTTATCTACATAGTGAATTCAAGGCCAGCCTGGTTATAGAGAAAGATCTTATCCCAAGAAACAAAACAAAACAGAAAAAAAAAGACACCAATATATACAGCCTCTTTCTAATTCACTGTCAAAATAAGAGGGGAAAGGATATTTTACCACAACTGAATATATGATAATAGTTAGCAGAGTAAGGAAAAGGACTGTTTGAAGATTCACGTATGTGAGAGCACAGTAGTTCAGAAAGTGTGCATGTGCCCAACCAAGGGACCGCACTGTCCCCCAAGTTGTAGACCACCTTTATAGGCTTCAGTCTCCCTCCCTTCAGATGAGAGTTTCAAAGATTTCTCTGTAGCTGTACTTCGTTACTCTGTTATTAAAATACATCTCACCATCTGCGAAACTGGTTTTTTGTTTTTATCAAGTTTGAAGAGCAGTAAATTTTACCATAGCAACTTGGTTCACTTGTTTATATTCGATCTCATCCCGATAGCCTGCTTGCTGAAATCTATACAGGTTTTCTATTTCTTCTGACCACTTCTTGGCGCGACTTATTGATTTCGGTTTCACATCAGAACTCGCCATGGCTACGGAGGCCTTCCTAGCAATTATTTCTGAAAGAGGTTAGAACAATTTCATAGGTAACATGATTACAATTTTCAAAACCTTTAGAGTGAACAAAAACGACTGAAGAAAAAAAATATGGAACTTCAGTAAACATTTCACATTTTAACATTCATTTCTAAGACTGTTATTTTTGGGAAAACAAAATGATGCACCCAAAATACTTTTTAGTCCTAGAAGACACACAGAGAATAGTTAATTTCATCATCAAAATTGCAGTTATGAATTAATGTTCTAAATAGCCATTCTTGGTCTTTGGACACTAATAGTGTACATTTATGAAAACATATTGTCATTTGTATTTATCAATATACTCTCAAAATATCCCCCCACGATTCCATTGATTTATATTCTCTCTTCCTCTCCTTCTCCTTCTCTTTTAAAAAAGGAATGTAAGGACAATCACTCTTAGCAAGGCATGGTGATGGACTTGGGAGGCTGAAGTTGGAGCAGCTGAGGTGAGGCCAGCCTGGGCTGCTTACAAATCAAAAAAGAAAAGGCCCTCCTCTTCTCCCCTTTCTTGTTCCCAAGGCACACCTTCCATTATTTTCTTGGGTCCCAGTGTCACACTGTCCTCTGGTAGACTAATGTGGGAAGACAACTGGACAAGTTCCATGCTAATTGTTTGTTATGTTAGATCATTGATTTGAAATGGCATGGGTGGTTACTATTGGTCCATGACATTCAGCTCTCCAAGCCTAGTTTACATTGTCTACTTACCAAACTTCCATTGCTGAGTTTTTCCCCTGGTTCCTGGGACTAAACTCAGGACCTTGTATGGTGATATTTTATTTGTACTGAAATGTGATTTTATTTGTATGTTAATATATAAAGTTGCCTGGGGGTCAGAGCTAATAGCAAGCCATAGCAGAGCCGGGCATTGGTGGTGCACACCTTTAATCCCAGCACTTGGTAGGCAGAGCTAGGTAGATCTCTGTGTGTTCAAGAATACATCCAGCATTGGAGACACACACCTTTAATCTCAATACCAACCATAGAAGACCTGGAGGTCTGTACAGACAGGCAGTGACGAGGTGGTCATGTGGTTGGGTTTACAACCAATGAGAAGGCAGAACACAAAGTCTTTATAAAGACAGACACACAGGAAGTAGGTCTCTTTCGGAGAGGTAGGACCACCGCAAGAGGAAGGGTAAGGTTTTTAGCTCTTAGCTCTGACCTCTTGGCTTTCTTCTTAGCATTGGTTCTGTGTTTCTTATTGAATAAGATGGTTATTTTTACAACCTTGTGAGTGCAAGCATTCTACCATTGAGCTGCATGCCCAACACCACAGTCAGTTTTTCCAAGGCATTGTCTTGTATTTGTTTTTCTCAAATACTTATTTTTTTACAAAAAGTCATTTAACTGACATAAAGTACCCAAAATTTTCACCATGGATTCCTTGAATCCATTCTATTAATGTTGTTTGTCTAAAATTCATTGTCACACTTCATAAAGATGATCCTAAAGGGAATTCATGTATTTTCAACCATGGTAACAAATTCTCATTAGGTTAACTTTTTAAAAGGTCAACAAATACATTAAAATACGATGGATAGAAAATGGAAAATTGTCCTCATATCAATTAGAAATATTCCTCCTTGCCACTGGGTGAACATCATCCCAAAGATGGGCAGGCTCACAGCAAATGCCTTTACAAATGGAATACATAGCTTTTACAGAGGGAAAAATCAGAAAAGGAAAGAATGACGGACTTGCTGAACCTCCTTGACTGTTTCCCCAGTGTGGAAAATGTAGCCTTCAAGTCTATTCTCACGGTTAGTAAAAGGGAGACTATGCCGAGGCTGTGCCCTTGGTTTAGTTTCCAGTATCAGTCACACACAAGTACTAAGGGCAGCCTAGGAAAGATGAGTACCCACTACAGATGAGGAACTTGCCTATGCTCTTTCTACATCCTCTGGATCTTTTGCTACATTACTTACATTATTACATCTAAATAGAAGGCTGTTTACATTCCATTTGGAAATCATATTACCACCGCAGTTCAGTTTAGCTCCAGATTTAAATAAATTTAAATGAAATCACTGGAATTGTATAATTCTAATTCTGATGAAAATAGTAACCACATACCAGATAAAGATCAGTATTGGGTTTTGCAATTTTTTCTAGTGTGCAAACTGACATGTACATTGGTTAGACTAGGGAAAATTAGGCTTTTGTTAGAGTGTGAGTTATTAACAACTTGTGTCTCAGCTATTTTAGATTCAGGCTCATGTTGCATCTTATTGATTTCATTGTTATGGTATTGTAAGAGTTTTTGTAAAATCTGGAAAGCCCGATAAAACAACCCAGTTTCTTGTTTTATAAGTCCATTCATTTCACTGTGAAGTCTGTCACATTGCCAATGCACCATACACTAGTGATGACTAATAAGTGAGCTGGAAATATGTAGTAAAGCTTGGTAATCCACTTATATAAGGGAGATGAATCAACACACACATATTAGAAAATATGATATGAAGAATCATGAGAGGGAAAATGGGAATTCATTATATTAAAAATACATTCAAGCAGGGTGCAGTGGTACACATGTTTAATCCCAGCACTTTTTTTTTTTTTGTTTTTGTTTTTGTTTTTCGAGATAGGGTTTCTTTGTGTAGCTTTGCGCCTCTCCTGGAACTCATTTGGTAGCCCAGGCTGGCCTCGAACTCACAGAGATCCGCCTGCCTCTGCCTCCCGAGTGCTGGGATTAAAGGCGTGCGCCACGACCGCCCGGCTAATCCCAGCACTTTTGAGGCAGAGACAAATGAGTTTCTGTGAGTTCCAGGACAACCAGAGCTACACAATGAGACTGTCTCAAAAAACAAACAAACAAACAAACAAACAAACACCACTCAAGTGGCTAGAGCACGGCCCAGTGCTTACAAATTCTTATTGTCCTTGTAGAGGATGAAGTTTGATTCTCAGCACCAAGTCAAGTGCTCACAACCACCAGCCTTTCCAACCCCAGGGAGACCTATCATCACCCTCTACTGGCCTCCTTGGGCACTGCACTCGTGTGCATGCCCTCTTAGACACACCCAAACACAGGTCATAAAAATTATTTTAAAATAATAAAACCTTTTAAAATATTCAAAATTAGTCACGTCTTTCTATGAAGTTGGTGGTTGAATCACTTTGCTGCTTCTACATACAAAACTCATTTTCTCAGGGCAGTGTTTCAGGGTTAGTTCTGTTTTCCCGTTGTATTTACTTAGCTGGTTGATATGCAATAAGATACTTTGATTTGCTTGTGTCATTCAAAAATATTTTCCTGAGTGTCATGTCACTTTCAGGTTAAGCAACTGTGTAAAGTAGACACCTAAAAACGCTACATGTTATGGAAGGGTGGAAAAGATGCTGACCCAGTTGAAGCTGCAGGAAATCACAGTTTTTCTCGGCAGGAATGCCCACCTTAAAGACATTATCAGACATTTGGAAATTTAATGTGAATTTCACTGCTGTGGGATGGTCTGTATGTCAAATGTGTTGCTGATTGGTCAATGAATAAATCACTGATTGGCCCGTGGCCAGGCAGGAAGTGTAGGCGGGACAAGGAGGAGAATAGGGCTGGGAAGTGGAAAGCTGAGTCAGGGAGACACTGCCAGCCGCCATCAGGACAAGGAAGATGTAAAGTACCGGTAAGCCACAAGCCACGTGGCAAGGTATAGATTAATAGAAATGGATTAATTTAAGCTGTAAGAACAGTTAACAAGAAGCCTGCCACGGCCATACAGTTTGAAACCAATATAAGTCTCTGTGTTTACTTGATCGGGTCTGAGCGGCTGTGGGACTGGCGGGTGAGAGAGATTTGCCCTGACTGTGGGCCAGGCAGGAAAATTCAAGCTACAAATGGCGCCCAACGTGGGGCAAGAGTTTCCACCTAAAACCTGAGAAAAAAGATTCTAAAACGGAGCTAAAAACAGCTTCCTAATTGTCTCTCTCAAATGAGCGGCAGCTGCCGGTTTGAGCTACTGGCGGGTTCCTAGTGTGCGCTCGACCTGCGGTATGGCGGGAATGAGGCCTCTGCAAGTGGCACATTAAGCTGCATTGTGGATTTAGCCTTTGCTAGTACAAAACAAAAAAAGAGGTTTCTGGGCTACACGCTGCTTGGATAAAAGCATAGACCCACGATAGCTCCCAGAGCTGGTGGTAAAGTACCACGCCATGTTGGGAAGCTGCGGTGGGCGGAGCCAGCAGCCACAGCTCCTGCAGCTTAAAGCAACAGATTCACAATAAGACAGATTCAGATGTAATAGTTTAAAATGTGTGTAAAATATACGTAGGCTTGAAAGAGACAAAAAAAGGTGATATATACAGTATAGAAACAAATACATGGTTTTAAAAAATAAAGTCTTTAAAGAGACAGTAAAATTAATATAAAAAATAAGCCACGTAGAGATGACTATTACACAGAGAGTCTGGATTGTGTTGTCTTTGGGATTCTTAACTACAGAGAGATGTTTGATTGTAAAGGAAGCTGAGTTAAACCAGTACGTATATTTTAAAGATACTTTGACTTCAAAATTTGGATGTAAGGATATGTTGCTTTGGAAAAGAGTCTCTTTTGTTTCCACAGAAAGCAAGAGGCTATGGATTTGTTCCAGAGTAAGATACATCAGGTTTGACCAGCCAAGACCCCCTGAAAGGTCTCCGATGACACCATGGCCCAGATGATCCAACATCCAGAACCGTTTCAAGACAACTGGCTCAGATGATACAGCCTCACGGACTACTCCATGATCCTAAAATTTTCTTTGTTTCCCCAGAAGATACAGCGCCCCCCTCCAGCAGGAAGTAGTAAGAGAAGCTACGCCCAAATTCCCAAATATACCAAGCTGACTTTGGAGATGTGTAAAGGTTAAAACCTTCCTTTTTAAGAAAAGAAAAGGGGAGGTGCTGTGGGATGGTCTGTATGTCAAATGTGTTGCTGATTGGTCAATGAATAAATCACTGATTGGCCCGTGGCCAGGCAGGAAGTGTAGGCGGGACAAGGAGGAGAATAGGGCTGGGAAGTGGAAAGCTGAGTCAGGGAGACACTGCCAGCCGCCATCAGGACAAGGAAGATGTAAAGTACCGGTAAGCCACAAGCCACGTGGCAAGGTATAGATTAATAGAAATGGATTAATTTAAGCTGTAAGAACAGTTAACAAGAAGCCTGCCACGGCCATACAGTTTGTAACCAATATAAGTCTCTGTGTTTACTTGATCGGGTCTGAGCGGCTGTGGGACTGGCGGGTGAGAGAGATTTGTCCTGACTGTGGGCCAGGCAGGAAAACTCTAGCTACATTTCACCATAACAGAAAAAGTGAATTTAGTACCTGCAGTAATTATGCTATGAAGTAGTGGTGCAAATTATATTCTAGTTATTAAAAACAAACAAAGTGAGTCTTGTGAAGTTCTGTGCTCGAGATGGTGCAACCAGACTGCCTGACCAGAGCTGAGTGACTTCAGGTGTCGCAGTTCAGACGTCATCCGGGACTATCCTTAGGCGCTGCACAGCCATTTGCTCTCAACCTCTGGGTCTGACCTCTGGTCATCAGATGCAAAGGGTATGAAAGTGTCGATGCTTCGATATTTGACTTGTTGCCAGAAAAATAATCCCCAATCTTTTGTGAAAGAGGTTTTTTCATTAATTTTTTTGCTCTTTAAATACACTACCACAGTAACAATTATACATTTTTTCCGTTTTTGCTTTCCAGTTTTGCTCAGATAAAAATACCTATGCATAGTATTTTTTAAGTAAATGAAAAAATTATTATAGAATAAAAACACACTTCTATAATACATAGGTGTATCACTACAAACAGGAAGTGGCAATGCTTGAGTGTCTGTTTTAGAAACGGAATTTCATTAAGCACTATTAAGAGCTATGTGTACGCTGGAAAAAGAACCCCACCAATCTCAAGTCCCTGGCAAATTAAGGTTCTAAAGTAACAGCAGACACCTGTGACCTGCAGCCTCCTGCTCTACAAGAAGGACTGACAATTTAAATGAGACTGTTGGTGCATACCTCTTAAGTTCCGTTTCGGTTCTTCCCCTACTTAACCCTAAAGCTTATGTCAGCGCCTCGAACACAAACCTGGGTCCCAGGACCCTTTTCCTAATTACTCTGCCCGTGTGCCACCTTAATTACCTCTTTCTCTACTTTTCACGTTGAGCGTCTCTTTTTGGTGTATTAGGGATGGCTGGCTGAGTCCTGCCTGCTGTCACTGAAGCTTTTGTCCCATAACTCTAATAACATGATAACATGCCTAATCTTACAACCCCCAACTCTCCTCACCTTATTTCATTATTTGTGCTCCAAGGAGGTGGCGGGATATAACTGAGGATCCCTTTAAACTACATGTAAACCTTGGCCAAGAAAATGAACAAAAGCCGGGACTGTTTTCTGAATCCAGCTCTCACACTGGGTCCGAAACAGAACACCATTTTCCGAACCCAGTCTTCACACTGGGTGTTCATTTTAAAGACAAAAGTGCCGCCCCGCGCCCTGACCGTAAGCACTCCGTTATGGTCGGTCCACAGTCCATAGGTGCCAATTTGCGTTTATGGAGCATAAAGCCACCCTTACGAGGGTTTCCCACAGCTAGCGTTCTCTGCCCGCCAGAAACCACTTTCTTTTTGCCATAAATCACGATTTCTGTAAGGTATAACCTGCCCAGAAGAAGCTGGGCTAGAGACAGTCCTCTGAACCCAGGCATTAAAGGGCAGAGCCATTACAGTAGCTGATTTGGGGAGGGGACGAATTTAGCTGGGGAGCCCATCCTAAGATGTAGGAAGGGCCAAAAGAAGACCGCCCTAAAAGAGAAAACCCAGGTACCAGGGCGGCCGGGCGGAAGGGGCGGGTCCTGCGCTCCCGGGGCGGGGCGGAGCCAGGGGCACGGCGGTCAGGGCCCAGGTCCTCGCTGTTCATCCGCTCAGGCCCGGCTCCCGCTATCCGCGGTTACCCTCGCTCAGCCGGCCTCGCAGGAGGGCGCAGCGGTGCTCGTGTTCTCTACTCGGGATCCGTGGGCTGAGTCAGCCAGAGGCCAACTGTTGCGGCTGTTGCCGCCCGCGCGTCTCCTAGCAACGCAGCGACGCCGCTCTGCCCGCTCACGTCGGCGCCGCCCCGCTCCCGCCGGCCCCGCCCCCTGCTCCTGGGTCTTTGTGCGCACTTTAAAGGGCTAGACTGGGTGAGGAGGTCGGTGTGCCGGAGTCAGAGGGCGCCCCAGCTGAGCCCTCTTCACTGCTGTGATGAGGCGGAGACTCAGAGGCGTTGTATGAAAGCGTTTGAGAGACTAGAGATCGCAGAGGTTCTGGATCCTGATAGAAGATAAGTGTCAGTGTGTGTGTGTGGATTCAAGGAATCCGTCCAACATGGTGTCTGACTGTAACTAAACGAAAGTTAACTAACACCCATAGCTTTATTTTCCCATCAGTATCTTCAGTGATAGTTAATGTATCACCTATTTTGGTGAAAAGTGATTCAAGATCAGTGTTTTTGAGTGCAGAGCCGTGATGATTTGCTAATAAATAGAGGGCGAAAGGGAGAAGGACGATGAGTGGGAGCCAGCTCATTGAGAAGACCCAGAACTGGTAGTTAACTGGGAGGGCTGGGGAGCCAGACCAGAGCCATGACAGATTTCTAACAGCCCTGCCAGGGGCCAGGCCTTAGTTTCGGTTTACTGGATCTAAGCAAGCAGTTCTCGGGAAGACCACAACTCGGGCAGCCAATCAGCAGACCCTCATAGCCTTCTGCTGGCTCAGCAGATCCCTCCCCCCCACCCCCATCCCTTTGCTAGCTAAAGATAGCTTTTACTACCCTCCAGTCAACAAGCCCCTAACCACTGCAGCCTCCAACCAATCCAGACTAATCTTTCCTCCACCAATCAGCACCAGATTAATCCCTCCTTCGGGTCGCTCTTTGCCACCCCAACCTGCTGCAAATAAACGCTCCTGCTAAATTGAATACGTGACTGTTGGTCTTTCTTGGGGGCTTCTCTCGTACCCAAACATTAACAATGTAGGGATTTTGTGAGCCAGTTAAACGCAAGCCATATTTTTTACAGATTAAATCCTGCAAAATTCTTTTTAGGAAAGTCACTAAATACTAAAAATAAAAAGGATCTATTTATAACCCCCAAATTAATTTCCTTAGCCAAGATATATCTCTGAATTTTAGATTTATGTCTACAATTTGTATTCTACATCCAAAGCCAACCTCTTCCCCCAAACAGAGGAAATCCTGCGGTTCGCACATCTCCCACTTGGAATAGCTGTCGCCCAGAGTCCTCTGTTTCTCTTAGTGCACCCATCAGGGAGACCTGTTGACTTTAATAGCTCCCACACAAGTCCAAAAAGCCATCTCTCTGCAGTCTCTCTGGTGATTACAGTAATTCCCAACATCTCTCCCCACGCCCATAGCCTATTCTCAACACAATAGTCAGCACAATCCACTTAAAACCTAAATCAGGTGATGTCAGTCTTGGGCTTGGCTTGTGACCCTACAATACTTTTCCATTTTATTCTCAGTAAAAACAACAATAAGGGGATTTAGTTCAGTGGTAGAGTGCTTGCCTAGCAAGCACAAGGCCCTGGGTTCAGGCCTCAGCTCAGGGGAAATAAATAAATAAATAAATAAATAAATAAATAAATAAATAAATAAATAAAACCTCAGAGGTTTACAAGGCCAGTAAGACTTGGGCGATCTACATACTGCCCATACGGATTTGTCATCTTCCTCTACAGTCCTGGATCAGTTTTCTCCAGCCACACCTGGTTTAACAGCACCTAGCATGCAGCAGATATGAATGCAGTGTGCTTCAAGGGAGTACATACACATCATCACCTCACTGCTGCTGATTCCGCTCTGATGCTATGAAGGAAGCGGGATGACAAGGTAGCTCTGAGAGAGGTGCTTCAGAACACAGTGGCCTGGAATTTAAATCCGGACTCTGCTTACTGAGAACATGACCTTGTGCAATTTACATAACAATGCCCACACCTGTACAACGACCACAAAAATGAACCTGTCTGCTAGGGTCGCTGTGAAAGTGAAATAGCAAACAGAACACTGACAGCGTCTGGAACCACACAAGTGACAGTGTCAATCTTCACTAGAATATGCATTCTGTGAACAAAGGTTTTTTGACTACTTTACTCGCCACTACGCCTTAGTGTTCAGCCCAGGGTCTGTAACATAATAGAGTGGGTGACTATTCATTGAAGGAATAAATGGATTTTGACCATCAGATTTCCTGGGATATTGAAGTAGCTTCTTTGGTTCCTTTACCTGAGACCTGTATATATTATTCCATATATAGATTTCATACGTGTAAATGTTTTTTTAAAGCCTGAGTGCAGATACTTATGGAGGCCAGGGGCAGTGGATCCCCTGGAACTAGAATGACAGGTGATTTTTTGAGCCACCCAATGCGGGTGATGAGAACTGAACTTGGTCTTTCTGCAAAAGCAGTATGAAGTTTTAAACTGCTGAGCTGTCTCTCTAGCCATAACAATGTACTTTGATAATATCCACCTCCAACTCTCCCTCCCACTCTCCCCAGATACCCCAGCAATTCACTTTTACCCTTCATGTCTTCTCTCCTTGCCTTGTTTTTGTAAGAAAAGTAAAAGATTTCTGAACCTGCAATGGCCAAAAATAAACTCAAAAGCAAATATGTGATTAACCCAAGGTGATTGTACCATGGTGTACCTGTGTCAAATTTGCGGTTCCCTGAAGTCTCTGTTCTAGTATTGGTTGTCGTTTTGAGACAGGGTCTCACTATGTAGCTCTGGCTGACCTGGATCTTGCTATGGAGACCAGGCTGGTTCTGAACACACACAGATCTGACTGCCTCTGCCTCCAGAGTGCTGGGATCACAGGTTTGTGCCACCATACCTGGCCGTCTCAGTTTTAAACATAAAATACACACACTCTGCGTTACACATGCTGTCATGCCATACAACACCAACAAACACTGCCTGAAATAGTACCTCAGATTCAAAAATTACAATATTTTTACTGTACATACATTTTTTGCTAATATAGAAACAATAGTTTAATTATGGAAATAAAAGACTTTTAATATTTTCCTACCATTATCCCTCAGTATCTAAGTATTAAATTAATACTTGTATGGATTGTATTATGTTGTATGTTTAATTTCAAAAATTGCCATTTGAGATGCTGGTTTAAGCTTTATAAGAAACAGTCAATTTTGCCTAGGCATGGAACAGAATTTTCAACAATTTCTGAAATGGTTGTAAATATCTTTCTGCCACTGGGATGTTGTCATATTTATGCAAAGTAACATTCTCAGCACTAATGATTATAAAATTAGTACCGATCAACTCTTAAAAAATGCTCACGGTGTTCTGCGTACTGAAGCACCAAATATTGTCAAGACTGAATTCTTCATGTAAAAAGAAACAGGCCTGTCCATCCATTAGTAGACAAATTTGATTATGTGTGTGTGTGTGTGTGTGTGTGTGTGTGTGTTTGTGGGTATGTCAATTTTTCAGCCCACCTGTGCAAGGCTTGTCTACTGGCCCTGGGATCTGAGGGCCTGAAAGAATGGGGTGGACTACAGTCTAATGCTGTAGACAACTTTACTTCAGTTTATGTATTTTTTTACACAAATGTAACAAAGAAAACAATGATCTGAGGAAGGTTGTTTGAATTCAGAAAAACATGATCAGAAAAACATATAAATGCAAATAAACACATGCTAAATATGAACAGAGAAGCCCTTTCCCAGAACTTTCTCAGGAGAGACCAGTTTAAATACAATTGCCTGGCGTGTACTACAGATTACATCTGGGAAAGCATGAGAGCAAGGCGGAAGACCAGATCCAGATCCAGGGTGCACTGGCCAGATTGGGTTCTGTAGCTGTGTTCTGACATCCAAGAATAAAAATGTTTTATAAATTGAATGTAAATGTTTGTCACAGGAGGCATGAAATCACATCCAAGAACGATCACATCCAGGGAACACATTGCAGCTGAGGTCAAAGGCCCTCTGCCCTTTTTCCTAGAGCCTCTCTCACAGTTCCCCAAGCATTGTTCACCATGCGTCATTCCTTTGACGGTGTTCCCGAAATATGTATATCAAAGAATTATTTTCAAGTAGATCTCTTCATGATTCATTATCAGCAAGTACTTGATTTGCATGCCTGTTTTATATGTGTCCAGTGCTGTGTAAAAACTTCTAAAAGGAAGGAGAGTCCTGAGTGGAAAAAGTTAGGCTGTAAGAATCTAAGTGTGCATGTTGCTTACATTGTAACTTGATTCCCACCATTATTTCCTACTGTATACATTATAAAGAGGGAAGAGGTGAGCAAATAAGTAAGAAGAAGAATCTTATTTTGTCTTGCCTCTTTCGGAGCTTCAACTTAGGAGCAATTCTGTAGATAGCCAGACTCAGGGCAGAATGTATTGTTCTGTTGGACAACCCACTCACAGCAATAGTCCTCCCTTGTTATAGGACAGACCATCTTATACAAAGTCAAGGCTTTACTAGTACTACTGTGGTAAAATGTATAAATTAGTGACTATGTCTAAGCCACTTCCCTCCACTGCCTGCCTTCCTTCTTCCCCCATTCCTCTTTATGAAAATCTGTATGTGAATAGAACTGAGTATTATGGCTGCAAGAGCAAGCCAATGTTCTCTGGCAGAACCAAGAAAGTCATAAATTAAGGCATATTTAAAATACATTTTTGAGTACACCAGAGAGACAGATACAGCAAAAATGGGGAAGCGTTTCTATAGGTCCAAGATGCTATCTGATGACATTCTTAGCTTTGGGGCTGGTGGAAACTAGAGGTCTGCTAAATTAATAGATTCCCAAAGGTTTTCATCTCTTAGTCACAAGATGTTAGTTCCAACACAGAGTTGGACAAGGAATAGCTATTCCCAAGGGCTAGAAGTAGCCTGAGATAAGGTAATTAGCTTATGGGCCCCGCAACATTCTTATCTTTCCACAGTACTGAAACCAGTCAATCCGTTTCTGCAGACACAGCTTCTTTTAGGGAGTTTTCCTTCCCACCTCCATAAGGTTTGTCAAAGTGTTCTGCATAGCAGGATTTGGAGGTTCCAGTTGTTTGTGATCAACAGTGTCTAAGGAGAACTTGGTAGGAAGGAGACAAGTACTACTGACAGAAGTATTTGGTGGATCTATACTGTTACTATAAAGATTCTTCCCCCCACCCACCACCCACTCCTGCCCCCCATCATTCTTGCCCTCCGTTTCTTTATATATCTTTCTGGCTTTCAATAAATACAGCTCCAGTGATTACTGGAGGCTAGCAGATCAACAGGATCTTTGCTTTTTCCCCCTTTTCCTCTAAGAATCTATGTCTGAATTGTAGCCTTCAAGATATAGTTAGCTTATGTACAAACGGGAGAGGGAACGAGTACCAACAGAATTTATTAACCAAGAGTCAGAGGTAATTTCCTCATCCAGTCCTCGTGGTTTTCCTATAAAATACAAACTGGGAGAAGAGAAAAAAGGGAAAAAATAAACAGAAACAACAACAACAAAAAACCCAACTCGATCTTCGGTAGACAGGAGGAAATGCAAGGCAGGGTGATTAGAAAAATGAAGCTCCTGGCCACCATTTCCAGCTGTGTTTTGTTTCCTGCCTCGGTTACGCCACAGATGCCGGCAACTCTGCACCATTGCATCAAATACTTTTGGTTTCCTTTGTTGCTTTCTGGCAGGAACGTGACTCTCGGTGAGGAGCCAGCGGTACA